GGCCGGCTGCTGGCCTCCTGCCGGGCGGGCGCCGCCCGCCCTCAGTAACGGCTGCCGACCGCCGCCCTTTTGGGAAGTTCTTACTGCAACGTGGGTCGTGCTTTTCTCTTCATTGTAAGCTTGCTTCCAGCGACACTTTAAAATTGCGTCCTACTGTGTTTTTTAAATGCAGAGTAATCCCAGTCTTTTCTCACGGGCAGTATTCTTAAGTCCTCCTGCGTACTGTCACATTTTCTCCGCTTGACTCTACTGCTGCAATTCTTTCTTGAGTTGGGGTGCTAAACCTTGTTGTTTTTAAAATTTGTATTTCTTTTTTTTTTTTGCAAATACTTCCTTTTCCTTCAGTTTCGGAAGTGGCAGGCCAGGTATCATGGCTTCAGCTGTATTTAGCGACAGAGATTGTTTCCTCTTGTGGTATCTGCGTGGGTCTTTACTCAGTTGCCTCTAACTCGCACATCGCGACTTGCAAGCTTGAGAGGTCAGAATATAATACTAAGTCAACAAACCCGATGTAGCGTAGAACTGGCTAGAGGTGTCTGATTTTAAGGCTCTTCCCCCAAACCCCAGTAAGCTGGCGAGTACCGAAAGCTGGCAGATTCAGGCATCTTACCTTGGGGGCCCTGCGTAAAGCCAAACAGGAGCAAGAGTAGATGCTGGCTGGCTCCTCGTGGCACTAGAGCTTTCAGTGTTGACCTGGTCCCAGCCTCTCTTGGAAGGAGCTGCTGATAAAGAGCCTGGATTGCTCTCCGGATTTTCTTTCTGAATTTTGGCAGACATTCTCTGTGGTAGATGGTGAAATCTCTCTGCTACCCACTGAAAATCGGTTTTGTGTAGGTGTGATTAGAATGAAACAGAAGAGCTGCTACGGACTGATGTCCGCTGTTGCCACCTGGAGAACTCTCTTGGAGTGCTGTCAGCAGCTCTGGGGATCTGCTCATCTGCTCTCCTCTGCAGCTCTGCCGTCAGCAGTACAACAAAGATGGTCTGCATACTGATTGAATTTTGTTAAGCACAGACAGGACCAAAGAGAGACAAAACACTATCAAAATAGGCATAGGATTTTTTTTCCCTCAGTGGAATTTGTATTTTCTGTATATGTGTGGTTTAAAATACAGCTGAACTCCGAGGGACAGGCTTTAATGTCTGGATGGCATTTTAAAATGCTCTAGGAGCAGGATAGAAGCTCTGGTGGAAGTGAAACAGAGAAAAGCTGAGTGTGCATTTCTGAAAGTCTCACTTTCTGTGACCTGCTCCCTTTTTTGTTGATTGCTTAATAATGCCATATTAATCTTTGAGGAAACATATTGTGAGGATCCATCTGTAAATACTTGAGAAAGTGTGTAGATGTTTTGGCAACAGAAGATTGTGTGAATACCTCCACAGAGTGAAACTGAAGTGTAGTTTTGTATCCTTAGTGTGAGTTTAACCATTTTCCTGTTAGAGAGCCACAGTTTCATGGAGGAGCTGCTAAAATAAATTCTAGCTTTCCGGATGTGGTTCCATGGTAACTTTCTTTTTTTTTTTTTTTTTTTTTTTTTTTTTCCTCATTTTTGCCTTTAAAGTAAACCTTTCTTGCTTCACAAATATGTGAAACTTCTATGTGTATGCGTACATATATGTGTTCGTGATTTAAAGGATGTCATTTTTAACTAAGACAATGTACTGCTACTATAAACCTGTGCAACTTATTTTCATAGCTTAAGGCACCAGAGGAATTTTTAAAGAGTTAGTGCTATCTTAAAAGAAAATTCTCACAACTGTATGAACTAGCAATGTGTTCTGAATGCAATTGTAAACTGTGTAGTCTGTTTAACCTAGTCTGTAATAGAGACCTGGGAGAAACCTAATCTATGGACAGATTCTTACTGCTACTTGCTACAAGGTGCTTATGATTTTTCTCTGAAGTGACAAGTGCCCCTGTCGGAGGTGGATCTTGGGCTGGTGCGTTTGGAAGTCCCCGCGTGTCGCTGATCCTCTGCAGTTTGGTGCACCCGGCAGGTGGGAGATCTGCCAGTCCCAGTGTGCTGAGTTCGCCCATTTGCTGAAGCACAGAGTTTCTTTCACTGCTGCTGTTTGAGTTATTCTGTTCATTAGATCGCATGTTTATATCACTGCAATTTGATAGTGTTGAATGGTTGCATTGGGTCTTTTTTTTTTTTTTGGTAGAAAAATGTTTTCCTTTATTTGGTGGATATTTGGCTTTTAAGTTCATGAAGGTGACCACTGTTTTTCCTCACCTGCAATTGCGTGCTAATGGTAATTTTTTTAACTTCCTTCTTCTGTGGACTTCTGCTTGTTCTGCAGTTAGATGGAGAAGTAGCCTTGTTTGTACATTGCCATGGATGACTGCTGCTTTTGTGTACTTTCCTAGCTGCTAAAGCCACCAGGATTTGGTGATGGAGGCTTTGCTGGAAGGAATGCAAAGAAATGGGCTGGGCAGGTATGTATGCAACAGTATATACTAGTCATTCAAAATAGTTTAAGTACTAACCTTCCCTCTTATTCAGAATCACATCCTCTGGTATCAGACAAAGCTTCTGTTGCTTAAATAAGGGCCTTGGAGTTTGTCCACTAGCACGCTGGTGGACAAATAGAGCGTGCAGTGGCCTTCAGCAGGTGCAGAAGCGAAGTCACTGGGCGAGCTGGCTTTGCAATAATCCTTTGTCAGATATTATTGTCTTAATTGTTAGAATTTTCATTTTACATCTTCCTGAAAACCTTACCTCTTTGTTGTTGTTGTAAACCCTTATTGCCTTTCAACATCAGGAGCAGTAGTAATTAAAGGTGTTAATAAATATTTTTTTTGGTAGCAGCCTTGCAAGGTTAATGAGACATGACTTTGTTATCTGTTTCTGCTGAAAACATCTGATTATTTCCTGCTTGTGTTGAAACTGCAGAGTCCCATTCATCTCTGAAGAATCCTTAATGCTCTCTTAGGTGAAAATATCTAGACTTTTGGATCCCAGAGAGAGACTGTAGTGCCAATAATGGAAAAAAATGTTTTATGTATTAAAAAAGCATGAAGCAAAAGTCACTGATGCCATTTTATAGTAATCTTTGAGAATGTGACTCAAGTTTACTGATACCATATCTTCTGCAGATAACTGGTTGCAGAAATCAAGTTTAGACTTAGCTTTATATTAGCAGATGCTGTGAAGGAAATGTTCTTGCTGTGCATAATAGCTGCTAATTTTTGGTTAACTCGCAGGACAGGGTGAACTTCAAATTTAACTGATTTTGGCTCCTTTAAGAAGTATTTCTCTCCCTATAGAAAAAATGCCAAGTTGTGAAGTGTGCATATGCTCTGGGGGAACAGAGAAGTTTCAATCCTTTAACCTATTGATTTCCATTTCTTTTCAGTGCTTCCTGTTTGACAGGCAAATTAAAGGGGTGAAGATCATCACAGAGTTCACTGCCCTCTAGGGCTGTATCTTGCAAGCCTTAATATTGTCCCTGGCTTAGCAACTTGTGAAGTTTTAGAGGAGTTGGTTGAATTGGCTTCAATAATTACTGCACCAAATTAGAAATTGCAGCGTCGCTAGGGAGCATGCTCTCCCCAATGGATTGCGAATGTTTTATTCTTCATTATCATGTTGTCATCCAACCCCCTCTACTTAGGGGTTTGTCTGCATTTGTGATAAACTTCTGTTTTCAGGAGCTGATAGCTTGGCTATAAGATTTCTCTGGTGACTGAAACTTGGTATAAAATGCCTCTGCCTGGAGAGCAATTAAAGCAAATACGAAATATGGATAGAACATGCTCTGGTTTACTTAGATAATGCATAGTACTAAGGCAAAGGGATAAGCATTTATAGGTGCTTATAATGGTTCTCTGAACAGAAGACAAACCCCCTGCATTTAAAGTGTGTATGTCATTTGTTCTCAGTGGGATTTCACAAGTATTCTTCATTGGT